TCCGTTCACGTAGAACGGCGTGTAGCCGGTAGACGAATATAATGCATTGTTCAGCGCAAACTCTACGAGTGGCAACATGGCGCTCCTTCACCCCGGCGTCTCAGCGCAGACGCTGCAACGAACGTCTTCGATGACGCGATTCACCCTTTCGGCTTGTTCACCGGTCTGCGGATGATCCGCTGTCGACGTTTCCAACTTGGTGCCTAGCACCTCGAAGATAGTCGACCAAAATTTTCCCGTGAAACGGGGTCTCAATCAAAGACAATCGATTCTGGGAGTCCGCGTTGTCGAAAAACACGATCCGCGAACAGTGTTGCTGTACCAACATCGTTGATGGTATCTGGTACCGCCACCAAATGAGCCATCTTGCTCAACCGGTCGACGAATACCACGACACCCGTGTTGCCCGCCGAATCTTTCGGCAAGCCAAACACAAAGTCCAAACTCATAGACTGCCAGCACTTAGTGGGTACTGGCAAACTGGCCAGCGGCGCAGCTGCATTTGGAGAGGGTTTCACTCGTTGACACATCTCACTCGTGCGCACATAGGTGCTCGTCCATTTGTACAGCTTGTGCCACCCATCGTGGTGATTCACAGAGTTAAAAGTTTTCTCACGACCGAGATGACCGCTGAGTGTCACCAGGCGTGTCGTACGCCTCATAGTAGATGCGGTATTTCAAATCCTCATCATGAGAAACCATAATTCGTGGTGTATCCATTAAATCGGTGCTATAATATAGCAAGCCGTTATTCAACGAGTATCGGTGCAATCGTGCGCGCAGTCTTGGTAAAAATTTCCTGTCCGAGTCTCCAACCTCCTTGCTCCTGAGAGCCCGTACCAGCGCTTCACACATCTCATCACCCGTATACGCGGTGCGGATCATTTCTATCACATATGATATTACAGTTGTAACATGAGCAAGCTCATAGTCTGGTCTGCGTGACAACGCATCAGCCAATTGCTTTCCCGGCTTATACTTCACCTCGAAGTTATATTCCGCAAGGAAGGATA